TTGTTGTTGGGGGCAATATGCTGACTCTGTAAACCGCTTAGAGAGGCCTGAAAGGCCTATGAAGCGGTATATAAGTCTACTGTTATTATTGCTATATTGCTATTGCTATATATCTCCCATACTCCATATAATTCCCCCTTCCATTTTCCCACAGCATTAAATATGGCAGGCCTGAAGGTTCAAAGTAAAAGATGGCTTCCAGGCTTGACATAGGGAATGCCTGCAACATGAAGGACAGATTTCTCACATGTACCATCACTAAAAGTACTGCAGGGAGAATTTGCACCATTACCGGAAATCAACTAATACAGGGGTGTCAAACTCGTGGCCTGTGGGCCGGATGTGTCACACACTGGCCATGCCCACCCCCATTTTAGCAAAGGGAAAAAAGGTGTGATACGTGACGTGATGACAACGCGTCATCACGTGTTTGACACCCCCTAATACAAGATTTTAGTAAATCAGTTGATATATTAAACTGCCAGGTTGCATCAGTGATTAAATTGGCCAATGAAAATCTGAGCCTAGTTTAACAATCCCACACATCAGACACCTTAATATAGACATTATAAGTATTTTCACAATCCAGTGAGTTTTTTCTTCTGTGTATGGAGGTTGATATGTATCAAGGCACAAACTCCATGTATCTGACACAATTCCTACCAAAACAGATTTTCATTCCATTACGAATTAACATGCATCATTTTTACACATGTCCACGGTAGTTCATTTTTCCTGGAGTTGGTGGTTTGGGTGGACAGGGGAGAGAGAACAGAGGAGAGAGAAACAGCATGTTTAAATGTAACAAAGTGGTTCTTGAAATATACTTCTTGTTTCTAAAATGGATGGCTGAGAAACATATCTAGTGGAGATCTTATAATTTCTTTGTCAGATGAAGGAAACTACACTATTGTTTTGCTGCCCTCTGGAATGTATCCATAGCTTGATTTGATGTCCAAGAAAATAAATGGTTCCTGATTGCTTCCCACCCATTGTGTATTTGTTTACAACTGTGCAGTTTTGCATGTTCACAGCTCTCAACGGGGATGCAATTAATAACACTTCCTGTAATAGTCTCCTTTATAAAGTGGGCTCTATAATTACTTGTAGCTTACTTGATCTTATGCAGGTGGAATATAGTTATAGGTAGTTGCTGCAGGCAACCCAAATGACTTCCCCTGAGGACATACTTCTGTTGCAGAGTGTCTGCATTTTCCAAGTGCTTAAATCACAGTAGTATAGTCCATCTGGTTTCTTGTGCTTGAGAGTGAGCAATGTGTTCCATAAGAGTGGGCTGTTAATCTCTGATGCAGCATATCCTGCTTTGTTGAATCAGATTTTCTAGTCTTATCATTTGGAAACACTTAATTCTTCCAATTACTGTATATCTACTGTAATTACATATAACTGCATTTTGTTAATCTGTAGTTCAGAGTTAGCCAATCTAAGATCCACGTTTTCATTTTTGGGCTTGCCTACCTTGTATTTTAAATCACCCTTTTCAATCATTCAAGGAGCCTTAGGAAGGAAGGAAGGCTTATTTGACAATAGCATTCTCTGATAGGACCATCAATCTTCTGACATAAATAATAAGATTAAGACTTGGACCCATCCAATTCTGCCCAAGCGCACATTCAAGAGAGCAGTTGCCAACCAATGTTCCTATTGGTGGGAGTGATGATGGATGGATGGATGGATGGATGGGGAAACGACAGCAGAAGATCCACTAATCACTGTGCTGAAACTATTCCACATTAAATTGTGGGATAATGAAGTGAAGTTATGGGGCATCATCAGTGTAATTTCTTCCTGGCTCAAGAACAGGAGGAAAGCATTTCTGTGGGGCCGTGGGGGAGAGCTCTGGGTCCCAACCCGGGCTGTTCAATTTGTACAATATATATAGGTGCATCAACTATGTGCATCAAAAGCAGACAATGTTTTTGGGAAGCAATCCAT